TATGTATATATATATATATACACACACCTATCTATCTGAACAAAAAATGAACAGGAACACTGGGCTGATGTACATAGTTTTTTTTTTATTAAGATTTTTTTTATGTACATTTTTCATCTCTCTAACACCGAGAATGCTGATAAATAAAGCTAGAAAAAGCTTTTATATATGTGTGTGTGTGTGTATGTATGTATGTATATATATATATACACACACCTATCTATCTGAACAAAAAATGAACAGGAACACTGGGCTGATGTACATAGTTTTTTTTTTATTAAGATTTTTTTTATGTACATTTTTCATCTCTCTAACACCGAGAATGCTGATAAATAAAGCTAGTTATAAAAAGCTTTAAATCAAAGCACAAAAAGAAAATCCATAATTAATACTTTTTCAATTTCTTTTTTTACATTACAGATATTTACAGAATTTGTGGTATTTTGCCCATTTTTTACACAAAATTGGACAAGAAATTACGGTACCTCTTAGTAACCACAGACCTAAAGATGGTAGACGCCATGTTAAATTTTTCGTGAATGAAAACGAGGCTGTGAAGGGAAAAAGCCCAGTGTAACTTTAATAAAACATTATTTTTTGACTCCAGGGGTTTTTGAGAAATGTATTTTAAATGTTGTGTCAGCAGAACAATCAATTTAACTTGTGAAAAATGAAATTTAAATACAGTGTCCACATAAGGGTCCATTGCGTGAAGCAGACATAAGTTTGATTTGCATTAACGTGACGATTTGGATTCTTCTTTAGTGCAGTCAAAATGAGTCAAATGAGCGAGAATACTTCCGAGCATATTTAATTGTGCTAGTAATAATTCATTTTGAGTTATATCTGTTTCCCTGAAGGAAGATTTGGCGATAAAAAAGAACTGACAAACACTGCAGGATCTGGGGAATATGTAAGGCTACTTAAAGAACGTGAGCATTACTCAGTTATCCGACAAAACAAAGCGTTTTGTAAAGTCTGAAGTGTGTTACGCTTCAGGAGAGACAAGGGAAATGACAGCGGATGAACATCGCCACAGCGCCCTCTGTTGGTTAAGGCTTTTCAATTCTCAGTTTAGCACCATAACGTACCAGCATGCAGAATGTCAGCGTCAGCAGCTGCGGGAACATGCTGACGGGTAATAAAAAAATCTCTCGGACGTATAAATTAAATCCCAAGAGGGCAGAGGGAACTGATCGATAAATGAATCATGAGACATTCATCACTCTAATGCATTAGAGAGGCGTGTTAGGTAGAAGTTTAATGGCAAGAAAATAAAAAAAACAGAGTAGAAAGCTTAAATTAACACTTTTTATCTGCACAATTTCCCCTTTCTTTTTAAAATATTTCCTCATGTTCAACAGAACGGTTAGCCTGGCCAGCAGGCGAGGGCTTTGACTGGCTAAAATCTAGTTATTTGAGGGTACAAACCAAGCGTTTAATACACCAACACAATGTAGGCTATATCCATCATACTTTTACCTGTCAAATCGACATTTCTGGCTTGAGCGTATAACTGCGATACTTTGTAGCTAATACAACTTGAATTTGTTAGCCTACATAAAGTTGAATCCCTCATCTCGTTCAAATTGTGTTTAATAATCTTTAAAAAGAAAAAATACTGCAGTTGAAAACACCCTCTCTTTTGGTAGCTTAATATGAAAGCTAGCTTTGTGTTTGGTTTAACAAATTTACATAACATTCATATGGTACAGTAAAAGATTATCAAATAAAACCTCGCACGTACAAAGGAGGCCGTTTACCAGTTAAGTGGAGCTGATCGATTGTCTCGTTTTAAAGCCAGCCATTTTTTCCCACTCGACGTGTGCTTATAAAGTGCTAAGGATTTAAATTGCATTGAGGTTTATAAGAAAAGAAAACAACTTCTGTGGGGTTTGTGAAGCCTTTGGAGTCACAACAAAACTTTTTTTTTCAGTGAAACATGAATTTTCAGTCATTTAGGGATGGAAATGTGATTAACAAAAACAATTTAAAAAAAATAAATAAAAAAGAGACAATATTTGTTACACTCTTTTGCACTTCCATTTCTGTCGTGCCCACTAAATTGTTTTCCAAAGCATCCCTTCTATTCATAAAAAGTATTTTGCGGCCTTTTTTAAAAGAAATAAAACCTTGGGACTGTATTTAAACCAAGTCTGGTCCAGTATTAGTGAGGCACATTGTAACATGTCGGGGTTGAAAGAAAAGGATGGAAATATGTAGAAACTTAGTCACTGCATTGCAAACTGCAATTTGAGTTCACTCACTTTGATTATTAGTATCTTCATTAGTCAAATGTCCTTCAGAAACTGACTTTTGCTGTCGTTGGAAAGCCAGCTGTCTCTCAGCGTGATGCCACTTGCCGTTATAAATCTCTTTTTGATTTTTACAGGAAGTCTGTGTGTGAGAAAGTTCCCGCGGTAGGTTTATCTGACATGATCTGTTCCCCAAACTCGTGCTCCAGGTCCCTGCTAGTGTTCATAGGTGTATGTGAGGCCTGGAAGGCACTGTGCAGTATGCTGGCCGCTGAAAATCATGTCACAGGAAACTTCCTGTCCAGGCCTGACACCCATCGGGACCACAGGTATGTGCTTCTTACTCTGGTTTACAAGTCCACAACCAGAGACCAGCAGCCCTGCATGGAGGCATTGTGGGATAGTGGAAGATGAAGAGGGGGCCGAATCAGCAGAAAAAGATCTCTCCGTCCGGGGTAGAGCCTGGAACCACAGCGCTCTGAGAATCTGCAAAGAGAGAAAAACTAATTTTACTTTTGAGCTTTTCTAAGTAAATCGCAATAACAACATGAAATGACATTTACAACACACTGAACTTACATAATGTTTCATTTTTCATAAGTGAAAAACAATATTCAGTGGTATAATAACAGTGTAGGCTGGGAGTTTATTTTATCTGTCAGGATTTGAGCAGACTGTAAAAAGCTGAAATGTATGCAAAAATGTATAGTCAGCCGGTTATTATAACAAATCACGATTTAAGCATTATACTGCATGATTGATGACTGTTTCAAATAAATAATTGTAGTAATTGAGTAATGCCATGTCAGCACTGAAGACCGCTTTCATCACATGTGAAATAAATAAATAAATAAACTTCAAAAAATAAAATATATGTAAAATTAAATCTCTAAATAAAAAATATAAACAAACAACGGTCACAAAAAATGAAATCTACATAAATTACATAAAATAATCTCCATACAAACAATAAAATGTATATAAAATTAAACAATAAAAAGGATAGATGAATAAATAAATAAATAACCTTCATACAAAAATGTTAATTTATGTAAAATGAAATATGAAAATATAAAAGAAACCAAACAAATCTCCATACAAAAAAAATTACAGTTATAGAGAATCTTCATACAAAAGAAAAAAAAGTAATTATATAAAATGAAATGAGAGAAAAAAGAATAAATCAAGCAAATAATCTTCATACAAAAATATAAACATCTATATAAATTGAAATAAATCTTCATATAAAAAAATTAAATCTATGTAAAATTGTAATTTTAAATCTACATAAAAACATCTCTAAAAAGATAAAAACCAAACAAACAACCGTCCTACAAAACAAATAAAATCTACATAAATCACAAAATAATCTCCATACAAAAATAAAATATATATAAAATTAAATAAACAATAAAAAGGATGGATGGATGGATCAATCAATCAATCTTCGTACAAAAATTAAAATCGGTGTAAAATTAAATAAATATGAAAATATGAAAGAAATCAAACAAATATACATTTATAAAGAATCTTCATATAAAAGGACAAAAAATTATATAAAATCAAATAAAAATGGTTAAATAAAGAATCATTTAAAAAAGAAATCTTCATATAAAAATATAAACATCTATAGAAATCTATACAATGAAATAAACCTTCATACAAAAAAATAAATCTATGTAAAATTAAATAAGAAAACGAGACAATCAAACAAATAATTAATCATACAAAAATTAAAATCTATAAATAAGAAAAAGGAAAGAAAAAAATAATGAAAAATCATACAAAAAATAAAATGCATTGAGAGACATGCAACTATCACAGTTATAGAGAAAAATGGGTGCTTGGGGAAAAAAACATTAATTACGGTTTAGTGGTAATAACATGACAATACTGGCTTGCAGAATTATGTAATTGACCAGTTAAAATCAAGTATTACAGAGCACTGAATAATAATTTTGTTTAATATTTCTCGTCACCCTTGTGCCAACTAAATCAGCATAAAAGCAGTTTTGGGACCAGAGAAAGTAACCGTTTATTGAAATCAAGCATTTAATAGAGTAACATGTACAGATTAGATAGGGATTAACTGAGAAAGGTGTCTATTTGAATTTCATGTTGAATATTAAAGCAGATGTGATGTGATTATGATCTACACTACCTGCAGCCTGGCTCTGCTGCCCTTTTCCCTTCTTCTTCTTCTTGTCCTTCTTCTCCTTGGGTTTGGCCAGCTGTAGCAGGCGGCTGGGGACCTGGCTCTGCGCCTCGCTGTTCTGGCATTTCTGGCTTGAATTGGAGGAGAATGGATTGAGGTTCTTCCCTTTGCGTTTGGAGTCCATGCGGGACAGGAAGTCTCTGGCAGACGGGGACGAGGAGAGCTCCACCTCTGAGGGGTCGCGGTCCAATGAACCAGTGCTCTGGAACTTTGAGGAATCCTCAGATGTGGTGGAAGGGGTTCGGTTCTTCCTTAACTCCTGCAGATGATGATGCAGAAATTAAAATAAATGTGCAAGCATTCTCTTACGATGGTTTCTGGTAACCTTAAAAATAGTTTAGACATGACATCAAAAAGCAAAATGAAAAACACAATCTCACAGTTGTTACTGCGAGTGCTATGTTAAAAACAAAATGGATATAATTACATAATCGAATGCGCAGGCCTTTTGTTGTCACATAATTACAGAACAGTTATGTAATTTTGGGGTGGAATGGAAAAGATTAGGGATTTTCTCAACTTATCAACATTACATAGTGCGAGAGTACTGTACCATCACAGAATAATGACATACATATGCATCTTCAACATATTTCCATTCACATTATATAGAAAACGCTGATGAAAGATTCAGTCTTCACTCTCATTCCGAACCCTTGTGACTTTATTCCGTGGAACGCAAAAGGACAAATTATAAGATGGTGTGAGTCACTCTTTTCCATTTAATGAATGAGGACCGAAGCTTTGAAGCTTCAAAGTCTTTTGACTCAGGAATGATTCAGTTATGCATCAGATATCGCTTTCTTTCATGAACAGGCTAAAGTAACATATAGGGGGGATTTTCAGTGAATAATGACTCAAATTTAAGTTTGTTCCTCACAAAAAAAGCTACTCCGAAGACTTGGAATATACACTACCATTCAAAAGTTTGGAGGTTTTTTTTTTTCTCAAATATTTTTATTCAGAATGGATGCATTAAAGTAATTAAGAGTGGCAGTAAAGACATTTATAATGTTACAAACGGTTTCCATTTTAAATAAATGCTTTCTGTTAAAGGGCACCTAATATGCAAAATCCACTTTTACATGGTGTTTGGACATAAATGTGTGTTGGCAGTGTGTGAACACAACCATATTGAGAGACCACCTAGTCTTACTAGGCCTGCCGTTTTGATTCTCTAAGCAATATGACATCACATTGCTTAGGCCCCGCCCACAGGGGCTAACTGACAGTCCTGCATTGCCATAGTTTCCGCCCTCAGAGGTTGTATGTGGTCCTCAAGCAGCTGTAACATCAACAGTGTCTCGTAAGCAATCCCGGTGCTCTGTGTTTGGATGCAAGACTGAACATAAGAGTCTTCATTTTCTCGCAACATCTGAGCCACTGAGGACGCAGTGGATTACTTCTATTTTTGAAGGTAATGCCCCTCAAAATCTACCAAAGTACGTTTATGTCAGTGCAAGTAATTTCACTCCAGACTCCTTTGTGAATGTCATGTCATTATAGTGCTTAGCGTTTTAACCGCATTTGTGTGAGTACGTTATCTAAGTATTATAGTTAAGTATTAGGGTTAATTGATCTGCGCTGCACTTGTGAGATTAGTTTGTGCCCTGTAACATTGAGTTCTGTAACATCGCGCTGTTTTGTCCCACTTTCAGTGTATTTGGTTTCCCTTATGTATGGCTGAACACCGGTTCTCTCGCTCTCAGTCATGTTCAGGGTTGCCAGGTTTTCAAAAAAACCCGCACAAATGCTGCCCTCCTCGGTCCGTTCAATGCGGGGCCCGGTGCGTCCGCACTAGTTGCACCCCCCTAAGGGTGGCCCTGGCTGTAGGTATGCAAAGCGGAGATGTACACGCTACGCCCTCTTCTGGAGATGGTGGGAATATGCAGCTTATTTGCATTTAAAGTGATACACACCAAAACATCTCTATCGCATTCGGGGGGGGGGTAAAATATGTTTTTTTTGGCAGGGCCCCCCTGGTAAAATTCGCATTTCAGGGGCTAAATATCACGTTTTTGGGGTCGCTTCAACCCGCGGACATGAAGAACAACCCGCGGCAACAGTGTTAAAAAAAGCCCAATTCCAATTTTATACATGCCCCAAAAATGACATTTTCCAGCTGTTATAATAAATGATCTGTGGGGTATTTTGAGCTGAAACCCCAAGAGCAATATTACATCTTGTAAAAAGGGACTTAATAGGTGCCCTTTAATCAAAGAATCCTTCAAAAAAAATCATGGTTTCCATAAATAATATTAAGCAGCACAACTATTTTCAACATTGATAATAATAAAAAAATGTTTCTTGTGAATCAAATCATGAATGATTTCTGAAGGATCATGTGATACTGAAGACTGGAGTAATGATGTTGAAAATTCAGTTTTGCATCTCCGGAATAAATTACATTTTAAAATATATCAGGAAAGAGTTATTTTAAATTGAAATAAAATTTCACAATATTACCGTTTTTGTTATAGTTTTGCTCAAATGCATTCTTAGTGAGCATAAACTTTACTGACTCCATACTTTTGAACAGTAGTGTAGCACACAAGTCATATGGAGCTCCAGTCCTAATTTACTTTCATTATATTAAAAAGAGTGGCCAGGATATTCTTTAAAAAAATTAAGTCACGCAGCTTTGAAATAACATGAGGCTGAATAAATAATATTTTTGGTGAATGATCTTGACCTTGATCCTCACCTCGGTTTGTCTGATCTGCTCTGCCTCTCTCTGTACTTGCTCTCGTTCTCTTTCCAGTCTCTTCTGGCTGTCTCTGAGCCGTGCCAGGTCTCTCTGATACTCTTCTTTTTTACTCTGCAGGTCTTGCTTCTCCTCTTCCAGCTCTTTCCATCTTCTCTGTGTCCCTTCCTCTTGGGTCTGCAGCTGCGATTCCCTCTGGGCCAGTTCCCGCTCCCGCACTTCCCACTCTTTTTCCCTGCGCCTCCTCTCCTCGGCGTGGGCGGCCTGCTGCTTTTGGAGGCTGGCGACTTCTTGCCGCTGCTTCTCCAGGCTCCGCTGTTTCTCCTGCTCAATTAGTGAGCTTGGCCGTGATGAGGAGGAGGAAGAGGTGGAGTTGAGGGACGAGACGGATGGGTGGCGTGAAGAGGGCAGGGGGCGTTCGCTGAGGGCATGCCGTTGGTCCTCGATGAATGTGTCTTGCTGGATGATAACAGCCTGTGTTGAGGGTGAGCAACGAAAGCGGTTTTAATTGACGATGCGAACAGGAAAGAGGTAAAGCTGCTAAAATGTGCAAAACCAAAATTTAGGTGAAACAGGCCCATCTGGTGGCCACAGAGAACCTGTCCCGGGAAAGGCCAACAATCACCCACTTAATAGTAGTACAAATCTATCAGAGTGCATCTTAATACACCATAATGCACTCTGCTTGATTACAAGCCTGCAAAATAAACCCCTGCATTTGGTAATTTCATTTCCTTCTGTCGTGCTGCAGATGAAAGCTGCTGGTCTGAACAGCAGAGAGTGAGAAATAAGACAAAAAGAGAATGACTCACCTGTAATGTGTTCAGCAGGTCATGGAGCTGAGCGACGCTCTGAAGAACCTGCTGTGGGAAGAGTGTCATTTTAAAAAAGTTTACATAGAAAATCAATTAAAAAAAATAAAAATTAAAAATTAAAATAAAAATCTTCTGGCAAGAAACAGTATTTATTATTATTACTGATTTAGGTAGGATCATAAAATAATGCCCTTCTGTCGTGCTGCAGATGAAAGCTGCTGGTCTGAACAGCAGAGAGCGAGAAATAAGACAAAAAGAGAATGACTCACCTGTAATGTGTTCAGCAGGTCATGGAGCTGAGCGACGCTCTGAAGAACCTGCTGTGGGAAGATAAAAGGATTGAGAAAATGAAATCGCCACATCTCTATCAGCTGAGATGCAGATCGCTAGTCTACTTTTTTGTCACTTTATATTTGAAACTTTTATAAATAATTTAATCTATACATAATTACATATATAAAATATTTATAATAGTATACAAGTACATTTGTAATTTTATATTGCTAATATTATACATTTACATAATTCTAGAACAGTTGTTCTCTTTGTTTTTATTAATACAATATAAACTACATATAATACTACTATATTTAAATTGATATATATTTTCATATGTACATATGAATTATACAATTAAATGTACATATGAATTATACAATTAAATGTACATATGAATTATGTGTCATTTTAAAAAAGTTTACATAGAAAATCAATTAAAAAAAATAAAAATTAAAAATTAAAATAAAAATCTTCTGGCAAGAAACAGTATTTATTATTATTACTGATTTAGGTAGGATCATAAAATAATGCAACCCTAACTCAAACTCATGTTGCACACGTGTTAATCACAAAACCACAATCTTGGGAAGGAATCTTATCATAAAGTACAGTATATATACGGCTAGGTTGTCTGGTCATGGTACTGAAACCAATTCACCTTTGGCATGATCTTCAAACCTGTCCTGAGCAGTTTCTAAACAGAAAATCTTACCTCGTTGTTCCTCTTGAGTAGGAGCAGGGGATTGGCGTTGCTTGCCTGTGGGAGAGAGAGGCAGTCACATGGTCAGTGCACTGGGTAAGAGGCTACTGTACATAAATCAATAAATAGAAATCCATGTGCTCTTTGACAGGGTACTGCAGGACCTGCCGGAAATAAGCAGCTATGATGACAGGTCGCATTACTCTGCTGCCGTAAAGCAGAGGACAGTTTTAATGTGTCCTTATTATCAAGTTACTATACAGTTATGTTCTGCGATGAGCGTGTGTGTAAACCTATAGTTCACTTCAGGTAATGAGTGCTACAGCGGACATACATTCTGATGCTCAGCACTTAATGGTTTGAGCATATGGTGATACACTGATGAGTAATGAATCAGATGGTAATGGGAACACATCTTAGAACAGCACTTGAAATAAGAGTGAACAAAAGCTTTTTTTTAATAATGTACTTATAAAATATGCAAATGTAACATGCATTTATTAATATATATAATATATATTATTATATATATATTAAGTTTCATTATTTAGTTTTATTTTTAATTATATGCATAATATTCAACATAGAAGAGTCCAATAATTAAAAATATATATTTTCATTAATCTGAACAGTTATGTCATCTGCACTAATTTTAATTTGCTTATTTGTTTTGGGGTCTAGAAATAATGCAGAATCTTAAATATTTCCTAATCATTTAACATCACAACACCTCTTATTTTTTCAGAATGTACCGATTGAAATTAGACTTTTGCACTAATTTAAACTAACTTTATCTATATATAGCATATTAATTTGTTTAAAGTGTGCAAATTTAAAATATCTATGTAAAAAAAAATATATATATATATATATAAAGAAAGTATCCTTAATGTGTTATTGCTTTGTTGAGCTCATGTTGTTTTCACTTTTTTTTCTTGTCTTTTTCATGCAGCAATCCTACTCTAAAAAATCATGATCTTTCTGATAAACACAATTTCTGAAAGCTGCCTGTCTTGACCAGTTTGTACCTTCTTTAGAACGCTGTCTGACTCAGACCTGCGGAGCTCTGCGGAGTCTTCCGTCTCCTCTCTGTCTCCATCTGCAGGAGATCAAACACAATCAGTCTCACCTGGAACAAACACCCACGCACACGAGTCGCATCACAAAACGCTCTCACGCACACTCCCACGTTCACACACACATGGAAAACACACCCACCTTTACTCTTTGAGATGTTCATCTGGTGACTATCAAAGCCTCCGAAGGTTTCCGCCCGTCGTGGCAAAGTCACGGGCCCCGCTGCACATACGCCATCCTGCACCGCTCCTCCTAGACTGTTGTTTACCAGAACCTGTAATGTTTCAACTACACACAAACACACACGAATTAAACATGGAATATAGTAATTAAAGGGGTCATATGATGCGATTACATGTTTTCCTTTCTCTTTGGAGTGTTACAAGCTGTTCGTGAATAGATAAGATCCCTAAAGTTGCAACGACTAAAGTCTCAAACCCAAAGATATATTCTTTATAAAAGTTGACTCGTCTACGCCCTCCTAAAACGCCTCGTTTAACCACGCCCCCACATGTCTACATCACTGTGTGGGAAGATTTGCATAGCACTGGCCAAATGTATACTCAAAGAAAGAAGGCCAAAGAAAGAAGGCGTAACTTTGATTCTCGCTGTACACCTCGCTTTTCAGAACGATGAGCTTTGTAAAAATCAACGCGTTTCAGAAATGCGGGGCATAGAGGAGAAACAATAATGTACAGTATGTGGAAAATAATGTGTTTTTGAACATTTCATTACACCAAATACACAAAATAATATTCTTTTTTTAGCAATGTCATATGACCCCTTTAATGCAGGTAAACACTAAATGGTAGATCAAATGTCAAAAAACATGTCTAGGCCATAATTCACTCCGAAATCAAGAAACAGAAACAACTCTATTTTAAAAATAAAATAAAATACACTTGTTTTAAAATTAGTTAGATTCACCCAATAAGGAACAACTGATGTTTATAGAAAAATCAAACACACACCAACAGCTCACAAAAGGCTAAGAGGAGACGGTAATCAATACTCTTTCCCATTCTTGACCTGCAGCATTAAAGCAATCCATTATCTGTTCCTGTCCTGTGGATTCAGATCAGCTTTACTTATCGATTCTGCCCATGTCCACGTTCCTCTAATGAATACTCCTACTTGCTGTATGAACTGTGACAAGCACTATCTATCACTCCCACATTCAAAGCCAAGGCATCTTCTCAGCACTTTCAAGATCTTTCTCGCTAAGTACACTCTAAAATGTTGTTCCGGAATATAACTTACTTAATTCTAATTGTTGTTTTGTCACTTTCAATGGTTTTGGAGGCGTTTTAAAAAAATAAGTTTGTGTTTTTTTTTAAAGCACATACATGAATTCTTCTTTATCGGTAAAGCATGTATTTTCTGTCACTAACAGCAATTTTGTTTTCAAACAGGTTTCCGCTAACACTCCCCCAACTGCTATTGGTCAGTAAACACTCAGCCCCGCCCTCAAACTCATGCCATTGGCTGTGTCACTGTCGCTATGCTAGTCTGGTCGGACGTACAAAACAAACAGCAATGCTTTGATAGCACCACAGAGTCGTAGCATTTAGAATATTTGGGGGAATAAACCTAGAATGGCTTACGTATGTGTATATGCACATTAATTTAAAATAAAAAAGATAAAATAATATTAGAAATAACAAAAATAAATTATTTGCTATAATAAAATAGTGATTTTTCCCATACTCCGTTTTCTCAACAACTACCAATGTTAAGCATCCACCTGTATTTTAATGTCAAAAATAATTTCAATGTCAACAAATAGCTACAAATCATAAAGCAATTTTGTTCAGCATTTATTGCATTTTTGTTATTTTCATATGAAAAAGTCTGAAAATGCTTATATTTTTACTTCTATTAATTTGACCAATTAGTATTATTACATTGCTTACTTGTATTATAACAGCAAAAAATATTTGAGCTTTAAATAATAAATCATTCATATTTGAAAACACTATTATTGCGTTTTATTATTTTGATTATTCATTTAACTAGTAACTGCTACAAGCACAGCCAGTATTGAGGTCTTTTTGAGACTGTGTGACTCACATATTTAATGTGATTCTGATTAGGAAAGCTTGTGTAACTGGCCAGGGACCATACGCACAAGCTGCACTGTGATCTGATGCAACATGTAGCTAACACCCTCCACTTCATAGAGTCATTTTAAAACTAAATTATGTTCTAAATCTTAGCCCTCTAAGACTGCAATATTCATAAAAACATATTCCCAATGTATCAAGTTTACTAGCTGCCATATGTTTGTAAGATGCCTACAGTGTTTTTCTGACTTATATAATAAGCATTATATAACTGTACTGGTTGCCTCACCTTCCTTCAGAGCCTCCTTCATGATTGGTTCTCCTTTGGTGATGTCATTGGGTGTGGCCCTGAAGAGCATTCGGTTGCGAAGGACGGTCTCGTCTGGTAAGCCACAGTCGCACATGTCCCTGAACAACTTCACTTTCTCCTCCAGTAAAGTCAAGATCTGCTCATCCCTCTTATGCAGCTGATCTGTAAAGACAGATGTTTATTTCATGACGAGAAACCTAAGATTCACTTCATTTTAGCAGCATTTATACACCTTTTACATCTAATTTTCATGGGTTTTTCAGTCATTCTAGTCACTATTGTGTTTAAAAATGTCGAAAAATCCGAAATCTTTTTTTTTTTTTTCGTATTTGTCATCCTTTCCTATCAAAATGCTTGCTACGGATGCGAAAACGCAGAAAATCGAACCTGGTCTGAATTTTTTTTATGACGGACAAAAGTTTCAGAGGCAGTGTGTAAACGTGATTGACACAACATGAGGTCGCATTTATTTTTTAATATGCGAAAATTTCGGACTCAGTGTGCCAAGACCTTTAGTGAGCAAGAGCCTTCTTTCAAAAACGTAAAAAAAAATTAACCAACCCCACACTTTTGAACAGTAGTGTGAAAGGAGGAATAGGATCAGGACACATCACTAGCAGGATTCAAATTTCAAACCAGTGTCACCCACATGAAAAATTTAGAGCAAATTCACCAACTATGTTCATGACATTTCATTTAACTATATGCAAGCAATTCTCACACTTGCTATCATGTCAACAAGTGAGAATTTTTTATCGTTCATCAGCTGGAGAAAAATTGTTTTGAAAGTGATTCCAATGATATCGTTTCTCTTTGTCTTTATCGTTATAGTTGTGGTGTGGACTCTGCTATTCTTTAATATTGAGAACGATTTTTAGAACTATATCTTTATCGTTAACTTTATAGTTATCGTCCTTGGTGTGAACGGGCCTTAAGACTGTATTTTCTGTGTTTACTTTTTCTCTAAACCCAAACAAACCATATCTACACACACACACACACACACACACAAATTAAGTCATTTTAAGCCAGAAAAGGAAAAATGGAATTCAGTACCTCTCAACTCCTTGACTTTGATTTCTTGAAGTCTTCTGTCCTCTTCGTTTTCACTAGGCACACCTTCATCATCATCTCCCTCCCTGGAGGAAATCGAGAGTCTGTAAAGAAAGACTACCAGCTCTCACAAATTGTGATGTTTAAAGTACCTTTTGTCAATTATGTTAAGCTTATTTTTCATTATTATTTGTACTATTTTATCAAGATAAATTAAAAATAAAAACACCGAAAAAAGGAATGTAGATATATATAAACATTTGCTAAAGATTACAATTTACAGTGTTATTTTTAGTTTTTAATAATTAAATTTAAGTGAGCATAAGATGACAGAAAAGCTAATCTAAATGTAAAAATAGCTAAAATTTGATGTATAATTAAATATTCAATATTGGCCTAAAAAAAAAAAAACCTTATCGGTTATCGATTGAGATATTGTGCATCCCTTCTTCCTGTATATAAAATGAGAAACAGATTCAGAGACTCACATTGACTGCATGGCCTCCTGAATGAGCTGCATCCATGTGTTCCTCTCCTCCTTAGAGCTGGCGTATACTTCTACCATCTCAGGCTTCTCAATGCCTGCCGTTATCAGGAACAATCCTTTCTCCTCATTGGCTACTTCCCTCACGATGAGTTTCAGCAGGGAGATGACAGTGGAGCGCTGGTCCTGAGAGTGGAGAACAAGAAGATGCGATGGGACTAGAAAATAATGGGGCGAGGACACACAATTAGAAAGCGCCAAAGAACTTAATATGCCAATGTTCCTACGAAAACCAGCGCTGATAGAGTGCCAGAGACATTGCACAATACTGGATTCCAGCATCCAAACAAGAAAGTGTAAAGTAAACATTATTGATGAACACTGTTCAGGGAGTCACAGGCAGAGGTTTAATGATAAACATACCAAGGATGCGAAAATATATTTCTGATCTTTCTCCTGTAGGAACACAATCACGTCCCTCAGCAGCAAAGCCTGGACATCTGGAGAAGAACACATCAGATAGATTAAAAAGCAGGCCCTGTTTGTGTTAGTGTGGGTGTATGTTGCTATGGTGATAGACATGACTTCGTTTTGTCAGCGAAATGTCAAGGCTGTTTATCGATGAACTGTATTTTGAAATGTGAAACTAGCTTATTACATTTTCTGAATTAAATGTGAGAGGCAAAAGTCACACCACAATTTTAAAACGTGGATGGCTTCCATGGCGCTGTTCTGCAGATGCTATTTTGTTCAGCTTGTTGCTTTTGTTCTGCTGTTGCTAAACTGTTGTGGGTGGTTGCTAGGGTGTTGTCATGTGGTTAAGGTGTTCTAAATGATTTTAGCACGTTGTTGCTGTTATGTGGTTGCTAATCTGTGGCGAGTGAGTGCTAGGATTTTGCTATGTGGTTGGTAAGGTGTTCTGAGTAGTTTTGCTACTGAGGATGTTGCTGTTGATACGTGGGTGTCAAGTTGTTGTGAGTGTCTTTTTAGTGTCTTTTACACATTGTTTTTATGTGGTTGGTAGGGTGTTGCTATGCAGTTGGGAATGTGTTCTGAGAGTCTTTTTTTACATGTTATATGATTGCCAGGGTGTTGCTATGAGGTTGCTATAAGGTTGCTAAGGTATTATGAGTGTCTTTGACATGTAATTGTTGTTATGTGGTTGCCAGGGTGTTGCTATAAAGCTGTTAAGGAGTTCTGAGTGTCTTTAACAAATTGTTGTTATGTGGTTGCCGGGGTGTTGCTAGGTTGCTATAAGGTTGTTAAGGTGTTCTAAATGCCTTTTACACATTTTATGTGGTTGGTAGGGTGTTGCTATGCGGTTGGGAATGTGTTCTGAGAGTCTTTTTT